ACCAGCACGGTGGGGGGCCTACACAATTACAGGCAAGTGCTTATTGTCCTAAAATGGTGATTTAAATCAAGGCGAGCTACAGAATGATGACCTTGTCTACCTGTCACAGTATCTGATAGATTCTTTTTAGGGTTTCACTGCTCTACTGGCCAAATTAATGTTAAATAGTACAAAAGAAGTGCATCCACATGAAGAGAACTATATGTAAATAAACATTTAACACATTATTCCACATGTAAACTGCTTTGAAAGCACCGACTTCAACACTACATTTGTTTTAAAGCCCATTTACTTAGTTTTGTGGGGAAGTCGTTCCCCAACTTTTTGGTATTTTTTGTAGTCAAAGCAAAGTCTACTCTGAAGCCCTGCAAACTACTCGCACTGAGGGATGCTAGCCAGTTTCAGTTCAGTCGATTCTGTGGGCGTAACCTTTGACAAGGACAAGCACAGATTTTTTTTTTAAATCTGTGTGATCCTTAGATGACTCTTGTGACCCTTTTCTGAGGTCCCCGCTCTTGGGTTGGGTAACACTGAAACAGGGCGTAAAGTGTGGATGAGCCTGTAGTATTTCATTGAAGAAGGAGGAGGAGGAATACGAGGCTCTTCTCCTGACACTGGATTGCAGAGGCTGGTGCATAATTCCCCTCGGAAAAAAAGCACATCTTAAAGTTAAATGGGTGCGAGTATCCAAATATGGAACCACATGGCTTACCAAGCTGTCAAAGATGCACATCAATCCCATGTGCTAAAGCTGCTGGGAGTCTAATTATGGCAACACGTTTTTTTTTTGTGTGCGCTAAGACTAGATTCAACTTCAAGGATTGGTTTGGAATTTTTTCAAGTCTATCCTAATTTAACACTCGCAGCATGTACACGGAGCGTTACGGGAAGCTCTAATGATTCCTTTCTTCGTGCTGATGGGAAGAGATCCATGTGAAACGATACTGTATGAAATGGGAGGCAAAGTGCACAGGCCGGATTCTGACTAATGGAGTTGGTATTTTTCAGGAACTGTTATTCCAACGTTACTTATTCGTGCAAAATGTTTACGCAAATGTTTGCAAATGTTTGCACTCAGGTGGTTGATAGGAAATTAAATTCTGACTCCGAGACCCGTAACACTCATGTTTAATGCATCTTGTTTGCTAACAGAACATTTGCCAAGCAGATTTTTTAAAACAGTTCAGATACAACATTCTTTTCCAGTTTGCATGCTTATAGTTTTCAGGTTTGCAGAGACATTGTTGGTTTTAGTGCCTTAATGCAACCTTTTGTCAAATAAACCCCTTTGAAACAAGCGCTCCATTAATCTGATGGCACGTGAATGTGTCGGCTTCACGTCTGAATGAGCATCATAGAAACTTCTATGTAAAAGTTGAGCCAGCAATCTTAATAGGTAAGAGTACATGTGTGGCGCCATTAACAGATATTATATTAATATTGAACCAAAAGCATCACAAAGAGCAGAAGATGAATTTTTTTCATCTTTACTGTGATGAAGACAGCGGATTAAGGAGTGCACCAAAAAAAAAATACAATCTGGGTTTTGACAAAGCATTAAAAAGAGCTGAAGTTTGTTTTGTTGCTTCCAGCTGTTTGTAAGAGTCTTTCCTCTGAGTTTATTAATTATCAGATGAGCACAAGATCTGCATGTATTTAGGCACATGGAACAATGGCAGTAACTTCATTAATTACTAATAATTACACAGCATACCGTTCATGGAGACAGGCTGATGGATGATCTAACAGCCAGCCACACTGTGAACTTCTCTTTGGACAGTGATGTTCTGCATCCCAGTTCTGAAAACTGCTTTAGTGAAATAGTGTGAACCCTTTGATGTGCACAGTCCTCTTTCATGACACTCACACAAAACAAGGACTCATTGAGTAAAAACACTGTTCAACAGCGCTACTAGTGGCTAAAAAGCTCCCCAAAGCACGAGGACTGTGGAGTTTCTCGCTCATCTCTTGGAATGGATCAAATCACAACCAGTATGGAGAGGAGGTGTGATTCCAGTCAGTAAATACCACATTAGAAAAAGAGTGGGAGGGAAAAAATGCAAACATATCCTGGAGTGAACTCAGAACTAAATAAACTACTGCTAAGAACCAAATGTTGAATTAATCTGCAAGAGCGACAACATTACATCTCTAATTTAAAAGGTCTCTTCACTTTACTGGAATAGAATGAAATAAGGCTGACTCCCAGTCACACCAGCAGTCCCTTTTTTATCATCATCATCATCATCATCATCTGCTCGCACACTAATGGAAAGACACTAAATGGCAGCAAACTCACTTAACACTTGAACCGTTTTTGTGTGATTTTTCCTTCTGCATTTGTGACAGTCTTCTGTTTCCTACTTTCCTCTCTCTCTCCAAACCTTTCAGCTTATTTTACTGGCATGGCTGGCAAGCAAAGAAACAGAAGACTGGCAGAGGTAGAGATGAAGCAATGGACGGTGGGGGCTTTTTTTATGAGTCTACATGGATCAAAGAGCTGGGGCAGAGAAATGTGTGTGCGCACTCACACACACACTCACACACACATGCACGCACAAAGACCTGTGTTCAGAGCTGAGAGGAATTGGCTGGTAAATGCAAAGTTCCTACTTAACGCAGGGTGCCAGTTAAAAGGGGA